TTTTAAAGTTATTGCCATCACTGTGACTTTATCCCTCAGACAATCCCATGCATTTTCATTCACTTTAAAAGTTGTATTTCAAAGTAATAAAAATTATAGACTGATACCTCCCACCAATTCAAATGATAACCAGGCTAAAATGTAAAAAAAAAAAAAAAAAAAAAAGGATAATTTTGAACAAAATTGGTTTTCAATGCCATTTTGATTCCAGTCTGTCGATGGTTTGTTCTGAGGTCCCCGATGGAGTATTTCGTCTGAGTCACGGCTGTGTTATAGGAACGCTAGGCTGAAGGCATCTCTCCCAAGGAAGATGAGCAAGTACTGGGTCCAATGGATTGGGCATTTTCCCTACAATGTGACTGGTGTGGAGAGAAAAACTATCTTTTAATTGAAGACTCAGGAGGCTTGACCAACCAGAAACAATAAAGCCATCACTTGGGACATTTGCTAGTATGAGGGCTACAAAAGCTCCCCCGAGCTGAAATGCCAAGGGCTTGAAGGGCACAGCAGGATGGGTCCTGCCCTTGACGCTGGATGGGAAGAAATGCTTTTGGGGCATGGAGGCCTTTTCTGGACAAATGATTTGGCAATGTGTCTGTCTGGCCCTACGGTGCCCATTTTCATTGAGAACCTGAGGGACTCATAGTAAACTCTCCTGAGAAAGGTAGGTAAAGATGGCCTTTCGTCTTCCTCTCTCCACGTCCAGAAAACTGGATTTTCTGAGGCTATTCATGGAAAACTCTTATCAGCTATACTCCCTCCCCGCTTCCTTTCCCGTGCAGCTGGTGCGGCGGGCCCTTCTGAGTACCTTCTGAGCCTGAAGCACCAGTTTTGTCTGTATCCCTACCTGACCTTGCTTCCTTCTTCTTCTTCTTCCAATTTCCCAACCCCTTCCCACCATGATGTCTCAGAGGAAACAATGCCTTTCTTATGCAGGGTTGACCTCCACACATGGCCTTAACTCCATCCTTGACCTCTACACATGGCCTTAACGCCATCCTCTCCGACATGTTCTATCTTCATCTTCTTTCTTGCTTCCTTTCCTAATGTTTTAATATAGTCCCTCATTTTGGCTCTATCTCCCCTGAATAAATGCGCTGTGAAGTCTCCTCTCTTAAAGAACCTTCACCTGACCCTGTGCTCTCCTGTAGCAATTATCCATCTGTCATTCCCTTTATAGTTAGACAACTGGGAAGAGTGATCTCCATTCCCTGTTGTATTCCTTCACTTTATTCAGCTTCTCGTAACCTTCCCCCCAGCTCCTGCTCCCACTTTCCTCATTGAAATTGCTCTTGCTCAATTTATATGTTGCCAAGTCACGGGACCTCTCAGTTTTTATTGACCTAAATACTACAGCATTTGACCATGATAATCTCTCTCTCTTCGTCGAAACTCCCCCCCCCCATCTCCTTGATGTGTCCTCTCATTTTCCTTCAACGTCTATGGTATTTCCTTCTCAATGCCTTTTGCTGTCTTCTTTCTTTCTCCTACCCCACAGAACTACCTAAGTGCCCCTCCTAGCTCTTTAAATATTGGTATTGCCCAAATGTGACAGTGGAAGTCATACCCCTACATTTTATTTAGCTGTTAGGCAGACATCTATTGAGTTTAGGGAAAGTAGGCTCTTACCTCGGAGCTGGGGTATACATCATGAAATATCAATCTTATTTTTCATCACGATCCAGGTATAGCCAATGAAACATAAGGACAAATGTGCTGGAGGACTTCTGAGAAGAATTATTTTTCCATATGGAGGACAGAATCTTAAAAAATGAAAACCTTGTGTCCCTACTTCATGTTCTTGCCTTGAACATGGTTGAGTGAGGTCATGGAATTTAGGATTTGGCGACCATCTAAAGACCATGAAGCAACAAAACTGAACACGGAAAGTCAACATGCAAAAATTGGCATAACAGAAAATGGAAAAAACCTGGATCCTTTGTGACATCACTGAACTCTGGACCCACCTGAGACCCACTTTACCTCTGTGGTTTTTATTGTTATTGCAAGGTTATTAAATGGCTTTAATAGTAACTTAAGCCACTATTAGTTGGAGTTTTGTCTATTTGCAGCTGAATACGGCAATCCTAATACTGAAATCCTAGTGTTTTAGGGCTTCAGTTTGCTTTGATTCTCTTTTCTCCCTCCCTGGATATTCTCTGGTAGGACAATCTTATAACATCCATGGCTTTGTGTAAGCCCTAGGCCCTGGTATGTCTCTGTCTTAGTAGATTTGGGCTGCTAGAACAGAAATATCATGGTCTGCGTGGCTTAAACAATGGGCATTTAATTCTCACAGTTCTAGAGGCTGGGAAGTCCAAGATCAAAGCATCTGCAGATTCAGTGTCTGCTGAAGGCCTGCTTACTGGTTCATAGATGGCTACCTGCTCCCTGTGTCTTCACAGAAGAGACGGGAAGCAAACTTGTTCATGACTCTTGAGCACTAATCTCATTCATGAGGGCTCCAGTCTCGGGACCTCATCTAGTCCCAATTATCTCCCACTCCCTCCTACCATCACAAGGAGGGATGGAATTTCAACGTATGAATTCTGGAGGGTGCACAAATCTAGAACACTCCTGTGTGTAGTTTCCAGGCAACTTCTGCATGAAATGATGTATTGAATATTTACTGTGCATCAGGCACTGTTCTGGGTATTTATATGTGTCTGTTAATCTTCACGACACTCCTATGTGGAATGTCTTACTATCCCCATTGCACAGTGAGGAAGGGGAGCCAGACACAGTCAACCAACTTACCCAAAGCTATTATAGGTCAAAGCCATGATTTAAACCCATGAGTCGGATTCCAGAATTTGAGTTCTTAACCACTATATTCTGCTTCCCGCTGCTGGAGAACTCAAATGTTAAAGCATGTTTCTTTTTATAGAGGTTTAATCAGCCCTTTGTTTATTCCACCTTGGTTGGCCATAGTCTGCTTACTCAGAATGTTTCCTGTCACCCTTCTGCCAGCCCCTCAGATAGCCTAAGAATCTCTTTTGTCCTCTCTTTTCCTCTCTAACCTGAAGAGTCCCACTTCTCATAATTAAAAAAAAAAAAACACTTTCTCATGATTAAAACATTTATTTATTTATTTATTTATTTATTTATTTATTTATAGTGGTGGGGGGACACAGGGAGAGGGAGAAAATCCTCAAGCAGAGTATTTGCTGAGTGCTGAGTGTGGAACCAGATGGGGGGGCTCTATCCCAGGACCCTGAGATCATGGCCTGAGCCAAAACCAAGAGTTGGACATGGAACAGACTGAGCCACTCAAGTTCCCCAAACAGTCTCTCATATTTTTTTTGAGATTTTTATTTATTTATTCACAAGAGACAGAGAGAGAGAAAGAGGCAGAGACACGGGCAGAGGGAGAAGCAGGCTCCACACAGGGAGCCCAATGTGGGACTCGATCCTTGGACTCCAAGATCATGCCGTGAGCCGAAGGCAGATGCTCAACCACTGAGCCCCCAGGAGTCCCAACAGTCTCTCATACCAAGGTGTTTCCAGACTGACCATCGCTCTTTGATCTAGACACATCCTGGATTGTTGTGCCCCTTTTAAAAAGGGATGCTCCTCACTGGACCTCATACTACTCACATGTGATGGGGCTAATGCAAGGGCCAAGGGGCTGATCACTTTCCAGAAATTCTGGATCAGGGCTGTTATTAATAATTTACCACCTACTATGTGTCAGACACCATGCTAGGTATCTTGGGTACACCAAAGCTTCTCAAACATTTTGCTGCGGTACCCTGAAGACAGAGAAAGGGAATGTGTATCCTAGGGAACCAGGGCCATGAACCATGCAGTGGCTGTCTGTACTTGAAAGCTCTTTACCACTTGGAGCTTTAAGATGGCAGCAGATTTTTCTTCCTACTCAATAATAGATCCCCGTTTGGCTTATCATAAAAAAATAGGTTGTAAGTGAGTTGCCATTGAGTAAAATAGAAACATTGGGAACATGCCTTGTATTTATGCCATGGCTTCCCATACTCCCAAGTGCACTGCCAAATACTCCTAGGAATTTGCCAGCCTAATCTGAGAAGTCTAACCAGACATTACCTTTATTACTTATGACAACCAGTCAAGGGAAGCATATTTGGGGACAGATCAAGAACAGCGGCTGACATGTACCTTGCCCAAGTTCTCCAAGGTAGTAAGTACGCTGAAGCTGGCTTTGGATTTAGATCTGCCTAAGTCGTGTCTGCTCTGCTCTGGAGCGGATGAGGATTCCACCCCTGAACACTTTGGAGCCAGACTAATTCACGAATACAAACCTTCTTCTCCTGTTAGCCCAGCCCAAGCTGATGGGTGGTCCTGCTGGCTAGTGTACACCGCGGATCCTGTTTCCTAGTACCGGATGCAAGAGTGCTGAGTAGGGAGAAATTTAATGTTTGGACCCAAATGCTGGACCTAAGGTTTATCTCTACCTTTCCTTCTTGCTATGGGTTTGGGCTTGCTTAGGCAGTTTTGAGGTGTAATTTGGTGATCAAATCTGCTTCCCTACCCCCACAGGAAGAACTGTGATTCTAATTTCTCTAGGGAGTTTCCTAGAGGCCCCTTTAGACTATGGAGCTATTAGATATTACTCCTACTGAGGCACCATTAAAAATGACAAACAGATGTGTGTGTGTGTGTGTGTGTGTGTGTGTGTGTGTGTTTCAAAAGTCAAAACTACTTATTTCTAGCTAGGCAGGCTTTGAAACTCGCTGCTTATCCTTCTCAGCACTGTCAATGTGGAAGTGTTCCTCTTGATGGTTGAGAACAGTGGGTCACAGAAAAGAAACTGGAAGGTAAGATGCCAGCGAATAGATGAAGCGCAAACCCCAGGCCCTCGAGGCCCGGCTGTACCTTCCCCGAAGCCCAGCAAAGAGAGGATCTCTTAGGGCGGAGACCCGAGAGGCTGCCTTCTGCACTCTTCACGGCCTCTGCAGCTCCTCTCCGGTTCCGCGTCCTTCCCGAGGGCTGCCCTGCCCGCGGTCTGCGCCCTTCCTCCGCAGCTCCCTTCCTCGCCACCAGCGTGGTGGCTGGTGCCTGCCCCCACCTGCCATTGAAATCCAGGGCATGAGCGAAGGAGGCATGACAGCTGGCCATGTTCACGCGAGGTGCAGCGTCACCGGAGTTCCCGCTTACCTTCAAACCCCCGGGAAAGGTGAGAGCCTGGGAGATAAAGGGATGGACAGAGGAGGAGGCGGCAGGACTGAAGTCGGATTACAGGCTCCCACCAGTGAGCCAACCAGCAAAACCAGCAAAACTGGTCCATATTCTCAAGACCAACCCCGACTGCTCGCTGCATTTATCCAGAAGCATCCCTTTCTTTTCTGAGAGCAGGGAAATGGACTTGAAGCAAAGATGAGGTCTCTTGGGGTGGAGAGAGGGTGGGAGCCATAAATGTTTCTCTCCTCAGAGAGAATATACAGAAATAAAGAAAGTGGATGCTTCGGCATCTGGAGCAATGCAGTTTTCACAGCCCCGGCACTGCCGTAGTGGCCACGCTTGATGACCAGGAAAGCTCTGGAACCCATGGGCCCTGCTGCTGGCAGTCAGCAGTCTGCTTTTGTGGATCAGACGATGGGCCAGGTGCCTGGTCCTACAGGCCTGGCCTTCCAGCAGCTTCCGGGGCTAGCAGCCCCGAGCCTCGGCGGGCCCCTCAGCTCCTCGAATCCCCGGCGATGCCTGGGCCTTGCTTGGTCACTGGCTGGGCCTGCAGCACCGAGCACGTTCTCCGCTCTACTATTTTGGTGGCTGCTGGATGTCTGATGGTCCCGAGGGCCACACCGCCAGTGACGAGGACACAGGACCAGGCGGTTTGGCAGGACACTTCAGAAGTCCAACTTCCTGGCTTCGAATCTCACGTTGCTCCTGCAGCCGCGGGACACCGGGCGCCTTTCCTGCCCTCTCCGATCTTCCATGCCCTCATGCCGAGGTGAAGGTAGCAGCTGAGGCGGCTGGGTGCTGCGAGGGCCTGATACGATGCTGGGCGCCGTCGGCCGGAAGGCAGCAGGTGCTCAGGAAACGTCAGCCACGGGGCACGTGTCATTGAGGGATCGTTTGCTCTTCCCCAGGTAGCGCCACGTGGAAGGGGGAAGCTCTTCAGGCCCACGCGGTTCGGCGGATGCTGGAGCAGAAGAGCACGGGCAACGCAGGGGACTGGGGTGTCACGGACCTGCCGTCTCACCTTGGAGGAAGCTTTTCTCCTCTCAGGGCTCGGTTTTCCCGTCTGTAACACGGGGGCTCACCAAACCCAAGCCCTTCGGGGACGACATGCTAAGCGTCGGTTTTCAGCAGAAGATGAGGTGGGAGGAGGAGGGAGCCCTGGACCCCCCTGGCTCCCCGTGCACGAGCCCGGATGCGCAGGCCTGGGGTGAGCCTACGTTTGGGGCAAGGGACACAGACGAACACTCGATTCAAGAATGAACGTTTTGGGGCAAAAAAATGCATGTGCGTGCCTGCAAGTATATTCATTAGAGGTCCGGGAGAGGGATGGGAGATGGCTTTATGCCTGTGATCAGAAGGCCGAGTGGCCCGGGCCTCTGGCTACCGCACGGTGCTCTCGGTGCCCAGGTGCGCTGCAGGAAAGGGGCGGGCACACGCGCTCCTCCCCCGTCCCCTCTCCCTCGCTGGCCAGGGTCCCAGGGGAGCCCGGCTCAGGGGCCGGTGAGGAGCCGCCTTGTGGGGGTGGATGTGCTGATGGGGGAGGTGAGCCCGAAGGGGGCTGACGGGGTGGCAGGTGCCCTCCGGAGACCGAGATGCTCTCCCGTCCAAACCAGATTCTCAAAGTCTAGGCTCTCACTTGCCGTCTGGGTTTGGTCGGGCACTCTTCCTGTCGGGGGTCTCGTTTCCTTCCTCTGCCATCTGAGGTGTCCCAGGTGTCTCCACGCTCGGTCAGAGGGCCGTCAAGTGCCCCTCTGGCCCCTGAGAACAGGAGGAAGCCTGAGAGATCTTGGGGGCCAGTGGGCACCACACGCCGGGCTCGTTGATGCACATATTCACTCTCACATCCTACATCCTGTGAGATGGGGGCGCGGCCCCCACTTTACAGGTGAGGCAACTAAGGTTCGGAGAGATCGAGGAGATGGCCAAGTCTCGGCTGCTAGCGAGGGGCAAACCTCACATTTGGATGGAGGGTCATCGGATCCTAGAGCCTCTGCTCTTCCTAGAAACCCACAGCCGCAGGCCAGCGCTGCACGGTCGGCCCCGGATCAGGGGCAGGTTCAGCTTCTGTCAGCTCCCTACCTCCCTTCATCACTTGCTCTCCGGCGGCCTCGTCTCCTCTGGTCTGCACGGAGGCCGCTACACCCCAGAAGAGCAGAGCGAGCGTGTATCGCGTGGCACGTGCCACGCCAGGCCCTACCCGGCTAAGCCAGAGTTTCCGAGGTAATTCAAAGGCAAGGGGAGAGCATGAGTTAGTAACTGTTACATAAAGCATGAAAGCAGCCCGCCCAACGTGGAGCGTTCTACTGGACAGCGCAAGGGCTTACCTGTCCACCTCCCAACTCCTGGCCCCACGGCCCCGACAGACAAGGTCTGGGATCCACCTCCTTCTCTGGCAGCCTGAACGCAACTTCAAAATTCTTCTCAGGTCCCCCTCGGGGACAGGCCACCAATCCGTCTGGAGTCTCCCCGTCGTCTCTATGTTACAGGGAAGCTATTTATTTTGGCTGAAGGAAGTGACAAGAGTTTTCCCGGAACTGGTGATATCTGAGAATGAGACTGAGGAACGAGCAGTATTTCCGTGGGTAAGGGACGCTCATCCTGAGACGAAGACGTGAGCAAAGTTACGGAGGCCAGAAGGCTAGAAGGAATTTAGGAAGGAAGAATAATCGGGTGTGTGTGAGTGTGTGTGTGTGTGTGTGTGTGTGTTGGTGGGAACGGAAATTAGTCCTCGGAGAGAAAGACTAGGAGGTCAGGTTGGCCTAGATGACAGAGGGCCTTGAACAATCATGTGAAGGCCCGGTCGGACCTGGTTTCCCTGCACTTTGCCCGTGCGTGTCACAGATACCGTGTCTCCTCCGCAGTTGAAGGTCTGGGCCGCGGCCCGGGGCAAGGGCACTGTTGCTGTGTTTCCAACGGCATTTGCTCACCTCAGGTTTCTGTGTCACATGTGGTGAGCGTCACTTTATTTCCCACTTCTGCTGATCCCGGTGTTTGTGGCGGTGATCTGGGAGTGGGGCCCTTCATCGCCACCCACGGCCAGCTGGGCTGATGAATGTGGCCCGTGGCCCGACTGCGCCCTCTCCTCAGGCCCCCTGCTCCCCGAGATACAGCGACGCCGGGATTAGGCCAATGCCTAACCCTCAGCGGTTCCTACGTCTTCAGGTGAGAGACTCCATCGATGCGGCAAACTTCCCCTTGTCTTATTTTCTGCACCCACCACCCTCAGCCACCGGCACCCCAACCAGCCAGCAGCCATCACCACTGGGCGAGACCCTCCACCCGCACAAAGGTCACGACCCTCGGAAAGCTCCGGTGATGGTTAGTGCGTTTTAGCAATGGGGGATCTTTTTAAATTAAGATGTGTACATGGTCTTAGACATCATGTTGTCGCACACTTACTGGACGACAGTATAGAATAAGCAGAACTTTTATAAGCACCGGGAAACCAAAACTCATTTTATTACGATATTCGCTTTGTTGCGTGGTCCGAAGCCGAGCCTGCAATGCCAGCGAAGCGCGGCTGTGTCCGTACCTTGTTTCAGAGGCCACAGGCACCACGTCCAGGTGTGTCTTAGGATCACATGGCGGCGGGGTGTGTGGAGGGCGCGGGGGGACCCCCTTGGCCTGGAGGGCCAGGGAGAAGGTGTGGCGCTCGCAGTCTGAGTGACCTGAGAGCCTGAGCTCTCCAAGGACCCGGGGGCGGGGGGGGGCTACTTTGAGGTGGGCTTAGGGCTCCTGGGGCAGAAGGGGCCCCGTGGCTTCAGCCTGGCCGGGAAGGGAGGCGGCGTAGGGCACGCTGGGGAAGCCAGACGAGCTGGTTGTTCCAAGCACCAGGAGCCCTCGCAGGCAGGCGCCTTTAGTGCTTTACGTCTTGAAAAGGTCACTTTAGCTGCTACGTGGAGAATAGTTTGGGAAGCAGTTAGGGGCTAGTTTAATAGTCCAGGCCTGAGCCTCCACCGGCTGAACGTCACATGGGAGCCAAGGAAATGACGAGAAGCCTTCAGCTTCGGGTTCTCTGCTGGGGGCAGAAGCGATTGAAATGGCTCGAGGTTCAATATGGGGAGTGGGGAGGAGGACAGAGGAGTCATTTAGGAGACGTGGGGTTGAGAAGCTACATGGATGAAAAGAAAGGTAACCGGGACCGCAGGTGAGGGCACCGTTACTCCCTGTGACGTCTGCTTCTCTCGGGAGGGCTGTCCCCCCGTCGGGAGGAGCACCAGGTGCACCCCTGCTGGGCGGGGGACTGTGGGGTCTGCTCGCAGCTCAGCAGGTCCTGCGTCCACCGCACAGAAAACGCTCAGAAAATAAGGACAGCCTCCCGCGGCCTGCCGGGCTCCGGCCCTACTGGCTTCGGCCTTGTCAAGAGCTATTTGGCAAACCCCATCAAGAGCCATAAAAAAGTTCACAGTCCGTTGGCTAAGAAATCCCAACTGTAGGAATAGATCCGAAGGCAGGGCTCGCAGAGGAACAGAACGGCTATGAACATGCCTTAACGTCAACTTTCCTTAGGCTATGACAACCCACGGAAACATCCTAAACGCCTCATCATAGAGGATGGCCTAAACGTGCGGTACCTTCGTGGAACGTCGTTTGAGACGAGCTGTGCAAAGGCACAATTTTAGTGCAATAATTAATGACTTGAGGGCATCCGGCGCGCGGGCAGGGCCGGGCACCAGGCGCTCCCGGGTCGCGCAGGTCACCTCCCCGCGCTGTGCCCGCGGCCCGCACCCCCAGGGCCTCCCGAGGCCGCGGGGATCCGGGGGGGCGGGGCGCTGGGGGGGGGCTGTGCAGGGGGAGGAGGAGGGGCGGGGCCGGGCGGGGAGAAAGGGGCCCTGCGGGGTGCTTGGGGGGCCTCGTGGGGGGGGTCGCCCTCGGCTCCCCAAAGGTGCACCCGGGACTCAGCAGCCGCCCTCTGCCCCGGCCGCGGAGCCCCTCACCCCGTCGGCCGGTGGGAGCATCACACCTCGGGCGGGGACGCTCACGTTCTCCTGGGGCCGCGGGAAGAACGAACCCGCGGCCTGCCCGGCCTTTGCACGGGGACGTGAGCTCAGGGAGAGGCTGCTGAGCCACCGCCCCGACACTTCTGTCGCCTGCCCCGCTGCGCGGAGCGGCCCTGGGCGGCCCCGGACGGCCCCGGAGCCCCGACGACCACCGCAACCGAGCCGCTGCGCACCAGGAGCTGAGTGACCGCTGCACGCGCCGTGCGGAGTGCGTGTGTGCGGGTGCGCGTGTGTGTCCTTGTGTGCACATGTGCATGTGTGTGCATGTGCTGCACCTGTGCACGTGAGTCCGTGTGTGTCCTTGTGTGCACGTGTGTATGTGTGTGCATGTTGCCGTGTGCACGTGCGTCCGTGTGTCCTTGTGCGCAGCGAGTATGTGTGTGTGCATGTGTTGCACCTGTGCACGTGAGTCCGTGTGTGTCCTTGTGTGCACGTGTGTATGTGTGTGCATGTTGCCGTGTGCACGTGTGTCCGTGTGTCCTTGTGCGCGCGCGTGTGTGTGCATGTGTTGCCCGTGTGCACGTGCGTCCGTGTGTCCTTGTGTGCACATATGTATGTGTGTGCATGTGTTGCACCTGTGCACGTGAGTCCGTGTGTGTCCTTGTGTGCACATGTGTATGTGTGTGCATGTGTTGCCCGTGTGCACGTGTCCATGCGCCCACGCGTGTGCATGTGTGTGCATGTGTTGCCCGTATGTGCGCGCGTGCGCGTGTGCGTGGAGGGAGAGGGCTCTTGAGAACAGGTACGAGCTCCTCCGGGTTTTGAAGCCCGCGCGGGGCTTGGTGCAAGGCCGGGGCTGGGCGGCCGTGGCCCCTGGAGACCCTGCTGCAGCCCGCGTGCATCCGGGCGCCCCGACTCGGGGCCTGCGCCCACGCTCCCTTCCCGAGCTGCGTCCGCCGGGTCCTTAAGCGGTGGCGCGGGGAGGGCGGCCAGGTGCACGCAGCCCGCACCCCCAGGTGCCGTAGGGCGGCCCCTCTCCTTGGACGCGGCGGCGGTGCCCTGGGGCGCTGTGCGGGCGGCAGCCTGGGTCCCGGCCCGGGCGGGGAGGGAGCTTCGTGGGCGCTCGGGCGGCCGAGGCCTGGGATGCGGGGTCAGCCCCGGGGCAGGCTGGCAAGCCTGGGCCCCCGCCCGTTTTCCCCACCAAGATGCGTGAACGACTGTTATCATCGGGACGTCAGAGCCCGATGCCAGCACGGATCGATGGTCAGGGGCACGAGGGCGCCCAGCCCTGAGCTTCTGGGGGGAGGGGGGACTGAGGGCTCAGCCACCCGGCGCCCTGGGCCGCGCAGGTGCTCGCGCAGGTGCTCACGCAGGGGTGGGTGGGGGGCTCGGAACCGGGTCCTCTGCTCAGGACACGCCTTTCCCCCGGGTCAGAGCCCCGGAGCTCCCCCCTCGGAACCCATAGCTTGCGAGCCCCGCTGGAGCCAGCCCTGTGAGTCACCCCACTTAGCGTGAAAGCAGGGAAAAAATAACAACGAAATACTATCAGTCTCTATCTAGGGTGCCTGGGAAGATGGGGCTGGAGCACAAGAGGCGATGAGAAATTGCTCCCCAAATTAGGGCCAACGCCGCAGTTCAGATTTAGAATGCGCTGGCAAGAAGGGGCCTTCAGTGATCTAATCCAACCCCCTCACTTTACAGATCGCAGAAGTGACTCAAAGAGAATCGTGCTTTGCACAAGGTCATACACCCAATTCGTGGTAAGGCTTGGATCTCGCTGTCCATGTCTAAAACTCTTTGCCCCGTTACCTTAGCCAAGGGCAGTGGTGAAGCTGTTGCTTTTGCTATGGGCTGTGCTGAAATCACCAGAATTCACATTAAATGATTCTGGTTTGCCTTCTTGGTTTTGTGTGTGTGTGTGTGTGTGTGTGTGTGTGTGTGTGTTTAGTAGGATAACCTTGTAGGCAGCATACACACATAGACGTCTTTGTAACAAGAACAACAGGTGCCGATCTGGACCTGCAGCATCCTTGGGTTGGCAGGATGGTAGATGTAAGAACATCAGCCGGGATTTTTTAGGACGAGAGTCGGTTAGACTCTGTGGATTGATATTTACTAACTTTAATCTCAGACTCCTTGAAACAAGAATACAATTAGGAATACGAAAATAAAATTTAAAAGCCAGGCTCTGGAAATTTCATGTGGTGGGAGCTTTTTTCCTCTCACAGGTGGCAAAACATGAGGCAGACACCAGGGAGTTAGAGACGTTGCTAAGTGCTGAGGGAACACGTATAAGCCGGGTCCTCGGGCTCGTTCGTATTTAGCTCCCCTCCTGAAGTGCCGCGTCCTTGGGCAAGGAGCGCTGACACTGGAAAGGGGACTGAGTCCTGGGGACTGCTCAGTCATCCAAGCTAATACTCCATTAGGGCAGCTATGTGTTTTTGTTAGGGTAGAAAGCAAACCTCAAGTATTTTTGATGGAATTTTAAACATTTTGGGGGGCACTTGGGGGGCTTGATTGGTTAAACGTCCAACTCTTGTTTTTGGCCCAGGTCATGATCTCAGGGTTGTGGAATTGACCCCTGCATCAGGCTCTGCGCCTAGCAAGATCTGCTTGACATTCTGTCTCCCCCTTGCCCTCTGTCCCTCCCCGCTCACACACGCGTGCACACACACACACATGCACACACTCTTTCTCTAAAGTAAATAAATACATCTTTAAACAACAAAGTTTAAACACTTTAAAAAAAAAAACAGAAATGTGTTCAGAATTTCCCCTAAGGTTACCAGACTACAAAATTAACTAGATGCCCTATTCCGTTTCCTGGTCCCTAGGGTGTGTCCTATCCACAAAATGGTAAAGGTCAAAATCATACAAGTAGCTGAAAAGAGGGGCAGCTTTAGATGTTATTACCACTACATTTAGAAAAGTGGATCCATATAGAAACTGTCTAATGAGAAAATGCAGTCACCATCCCGCACCACGTTCTCGGAAGCATAAGTGTTCATTTCTCCATTTAGGCAAAATTTTAAATGAGTCACTGAGAACAGAAACTAGGGAAGGGCTAGGGTTGTAAAGCAGAAGCAAGAACAAGTATTTAAACTATAAAATGGAGATGGGATCCTTCAGAAAAGTGCACTCAGTTGGAAGAGGGGACTGATTGGCCGGGAGCTGGGGCCTGGTATGCCCGTGGGTCCAGGAAGGGGTGCGTCGGTAGAGATGGAGTGATAAGGGGCATAAACGGGAGAAAGAAAGGATGATGTAGGAGATACCTGATTCTTAAAAGTGTTTTTGTGATTGTACCAAAAAGCTAATCCATCCCTTGAAAAAAAGATTTTTGGTTGCTTGCAAATAGCTCTGAACTGAGCATCTGTTCAACGAGCATTTACTGAGCATCTACCAAGTTCTAGGGTATCAGAGAGACAGCAAATATGTCTCATGTTTTGCGCCAACACAGAGACGTTCGAAGTGGCTACCTGGGGCATTTGGCTAAAAAGGGTTCTCAAGCCGGGGACGGCTTCAGCGGGAAAGAGCGTCCTGATGGGTTAGCGATGCTGCCGCAGGTACAGAAGCAGGGAGCCGCAGCACGAGTGCAGGTGTTGTGATACTGCGGAGCTAAGCACCGCTCAATAGCTGAGGGTGTGAGACGTCGCCCAGCCGAGAAACTCTTCTGATCTGCCTACCCCAGGGATAAAAAATGATTCGGACATGATCCCTACACGTAGGGACTCATAGTTCAACGAGGAAGACTAGACACAAGTACAAATAGTCCTAATACAAAGTGTTTGGGGTGGGCTGTGTCGAAAATGTCGTGAAAAATGTGGAGCTGGAAGCGATTAATTTGTCCAGGAGAATTGAGGAGGAGTTGGAAATATTTGATCTGGGTCTTGAAGGGTAAATAGGAGTTCACCAGCTGGAAAAGAAGAAGGAGGGCATTCTCAGGACCGGTGAGAGCACGTGCAGGATGCAGGCACATGGCTAGGCCTCGCGTCCTTGGAGGTTAGTGAGAGCGTGGCTAGAGCACCTAATGAACGGAAGAAGCCGCGGGCGATGAGCTTACAGAGCCCATTGGAGCCCGGATTATGAAGGACCCCATTATTAACTTTAGACTTTTTCTTCTAAGCCATGGGGATCCCATACTCAACTAGTTCTGCTGCAGTGCGGAGTGTAAGCTGAAGCTGGAAGAGGAAACCTACATAATAATAATAATAAAAAAAAAACCTGCTTTGGCTAGATAAATACCAACAGATGAGGTTTAGGAATAATGAAAAAACCCCCACTAATATTCATTATTTACTATATGTTAGCAGTTGTGCAAAATACGTTTCATGTATGAATTCATTTAGAAAACATTTAACGAGGGGCTAATTGTGTGCCCGGCCCTGTTTTCGGCGCTGAACAAGGTGGAGTAAATCTCAGCCTTCATGACACATACATCCTGGAGAAAAGAGATAGGTTAAGAAATAGTGGATGCACGATTTGTGGAGGAACGGCACGTGCTTTGAAGAAATAGGAAGGGTAAGGAAGTTAGAGTGGGAGTGCTGTTTAAAGGGCATGAGGAGACCGGTCTCCTTGATGAAGTGGACCTTGAAAAAGCCACGCGGGTTTTCAAGGGAAGGTTCCTCGAGGCGGAAGGAACGGGGAATGGAAAGCTGTGAAGTGGAAGTGTGCTGGGTGTCCTGGGAATTAGGAGAAGGCCAGCAAGGCAGGACCCGGGGACGAGGGGGCTGGAATTCAGATCTGACAGGTGGTAGCGGGCCATGCCTAGTGGGGCCTTGTAGAGCATGACAAGGACGTGCATGATCTCATTGGCTTCTCCAAGCCGCCTGAGGGGTAGGCCCAGCATTATCCTCCTTTTACAGAAGAGGAAATAGGGAAGTTCGTGTCCCAGGACGCATGGCTAGAAAATGATAGATCCGGTTTAGGATACAGGATGGTTTGATCCCGGAGCCTATGCTTGAAACCATTGCTTTCCACCAGTGCCCTCTTTTTCCACATGGAACCGCCTTCCACATTGATCACCATATCGATCACCTATTAAAATTTTGCCCACACTTTGCTCATCTTCCGAGCTTCTAGGTGAAGGCCCCCAGTCACTCCAGCCAGCTGTGCTCCCCTGCCCCCCGAGATCTGAGAGCATTGAACCGCGACCAGTCTCACGCGCTCGTCTTTCAAGATCTGGTTGAGCAGCCATTTGTAGACCCATCGTCAGCATCTCTACTCATCATCAGTGGTTAAAACTTCCTGGGAGACAGAAAACGTTTTTTTAGCAAATGTGGCATAAGGGGAAGAACCAGGAGAACGGAACTCCCCATCTGATCTGCGTTATTCTGGACTCTACGTAAGTCAGTTTCTCAGGGCACCACCTTCCGTGCCTGGAGTGCTGCCGTGGGGCCGAAGGGGTCACTCAGGCAGGCCCGTCGCCCTCTCTCCAAACCGGCTCACCGCACAGTGCTCTCTGTCCCATCACTCAGTACCCTGTTCCATTGCTCCGGACCAAGCCCAGGAAACCTTCTTGATAACTACCTCTCTCCCACGTCCACCTCTAATCAGTCTCAAAGTTCCTTCGATTCCACCTCCTAATTATTTTTCAAAATCAGCCGTTTCTTTCCGGCATCACACCCTGGTGCCATCTCTCATGTGGAATAGTCTACGAGTCTATTAACTGGTCATCGTCTTTTCTCCATGTCAGATCCATCCTGTGTGCAATAGTCAGAATTATCTTTCTGAAATGCAAAATTGAGCAGGTTATTGATCTTCCAAACCTTCCAGCGATTTCTGGTTGCTCCAATTTTTAAAATACATTCGAAGCCTTTCTTCTTTAACCTAATACATGTTCTTTCATCTCATGCTGCTCTTTCCCAGTATAGACCAGACGTTTGTGTCCCTCCCCTCCAAATTCATGCGTTGAAACCTAATCTTCCAAGTCATGGTATTTGGAGGTGGGGCCTTTGGGGGGTGAATAGGT